CCTTACTTGCCTTCTTATCCTTGGTTTTTGACCTTATCTGAGCCTTAGTTCTCTCTTCTGTAAGTGACTGTAATGATAACACCTTTCTTAGCTTGCTGTGAAAACTAAGTGAATTAGTGTATAGTGATGGGCAAAGTGTCTGGTACATAATAGGAACCCAATAAAATGTTCCATCATCATTGTCCTTCGACTGGCGCCGAAGTTGCTTGGTACCACTAAGCTGTTTGATACTGATAACTCTGAGAATGAGAGGATTCTTGTGCAAGATCTGTGTTTCTTTGAGGTAGTTGCTGATTTCATGACCCTTGCTTTTGTTGAACAATTTTGGGAGAAAGGTTTTGCCTCTCCCCAATATACTCTAGAAAAACTTTTATTTTGATTTTTGGGTCACACCCAGTGTTGCTCAGGGATTACCCCTGACCCTGCTCTCAGGAATTACTCCTGGTGATGCTTGGGGTACCATACGGGATCCTGGGGATTGAACCACATGCAAGGCAAATGCCCTATCTGCTGTACTATCATTCCAGCTCCTACTCTAGAAAACTTGGCATGGCCCAGGGTGCTCATCCCAGTATTCTGAGATAGTATCAGGGCTCCTGTTAGTGACCTGTCTTGGTAAATGCGTTAATGATCTGTACCTATGGCAGTTGCAGTAAGAGGATTGGAGGAAAGTGAAATACATGTAAGGAGAAAGGAGCCACTTCCTGCTGAGAACTGCTTCCTCTTTAGCATAGCGGGATAAAAATGAGCCACAGGCTTAGAGAGGATGTTCTGCTGCTTATTTCCACTGCCCTCTCCTTGTTCCCAAAGTACAGTGCACCATCTTCTGCTTTCCGGTGAAGTGTAGGCAACGTTTACAATATCCAACATCCTTTCATCATTCACCTCTGAGAACAGAGACTGAGCCTGTCAGGAATGGCCTTGTCTGGGCTCTGCACCAGGCAGTTATAGTTCTGGCTGACCTGTGTGTCTGGGCTTACTAATGTGGCTGGCATGGGCCATCTCACTGCACACACTCCTTAGAGAAGCTAACTAGGCAGGCACACCCACTTTCCTTGGCATGTTTTTTGGTTGACCCAAACTGCAAACATCAACATGTATAAGACATATGCTCTCTTTTTTGTGTAACTCCAGGCACCAAAATATGCCTACACACAGGGGTGTGTGCATTCAGACACACGCATATTCTTTTTTGCCTGGTGGAAATATGCTTCTGCGATGTTCCTTCGACACCCACTCATGCCCCTCCTTGGCTGGCACCTTTCCTAATGATTCCCATCTACTCCCTCCCCATAGACCTTTTTTGGTGTACATTTTGGCACCCCTTCTCTTATTTCTGCCTGGTTCTTTTCTTTCCCTGCCTCCTTCCCCCTCCCCTCCTCTTCAAACCTCTTTAGAAAATTTGTTAAACTATACATTCTTTATTAGTAATGTACATTTATGAAAAAATTCTTCACAGTTACAAAATTGCATGGTTATAAAATCATCTCCATACAAAGGTTGGCATCTTCCCTAGCCCCTGCCCTCCCTTACCCACCCACTCCCCAACATCAACATTCCATGGGACAATGCTTAGAAAAACAGAGAGCTTCTGTGGACCTGGGACTCCTGACCCAGGGTAGCAAACATGGTGGTGATGTACAAAGGACCCTGTTTGCCTCCCTCCATTCCCTTTGCCTCCTTCTGGGGTGTGCTGAGCAGAAAAACTTCTTTAGCCTCTGGAAGACATTCTCCTGAGAAATGGACATATCTCTTCTTACAGAGCTGAGAAGAATGTTATCATGATGGCAACAAGGACATCTACAGGGACAAAGGTGGAGTGGATAAGACTTACGGATGATTGAAGAGAAATTTGTATATGCTCAAATTCCAAAGGTCAACTTCCTTGACAGGAACTATTGACTATGGGAATATCTTTTGGTCAGGTACACTGCAATCTCTGTAGTAATGGAGAGAAACAAGTGAAGGTTTCTCTGAGAATGGATAGAGGTAACTGGTTTTATAGTATGGATGGGAGGTTCTGCATTGAAAAAATTTTCTTAGTCCAGACATTGACTGTCAAGACCTCATTGATTAGCTTGACTTTGACAGCCTGAGCTTGAATAGAAAAGAAGCTTCTGGAATAAGGACAACTCTCTGAGAGGCAGGGAATGAGGGAACCAATCAAACTGTCCTTAGGCTGTATATACTTCTGAGAAGTTTTCCCTACTCCAACCCTCATAGAATTCTATCCTAGAAGACACATTAGTATCAGACAGTGGAAGAGAGTGTCAGAGAATAAATCCCAGTTCCTCTCCCAAGAGAGATGGTTCCCATATTTGTGGAGTCCCAACATACACAGAACTTCACAGACACACAAATGGACTCAGAGATACCCCAACATTTACATAGTAACCACGCTGGAAAAACTTCATGAATCCATGTAAGAATACCACCATGGGTTCTTGGCTGGCAGAGTTGTGGAAGAATTCCACTCAGGTCTTCTAAATGGGCTAGAAGCATGACTTTAGAATCTGATTTCTGATGCCCTGCATGAGAGAGAGTAGTGGAGGGGGCATCGGGGAGAATCAGGAAGTTCCCTAGAAGTGGGAAAGATGAATGATTTTCTTGTTGAGTTCGATAGTCAACTGAGAAACTGCTAGTAGCTGGATAAGCATCAACTCAGTAAAACCCATGTATCCTATTTAGAAAAGTTGTTCATAAAGTGTGGGGGAGGCTAGGTAGTCTGGTAAGGAAGGACCTTGGACTTCAAGGATGTTCAATTTTTGTTTGGTTCTAGTTCTAGTGAAGAGAAGTACATATTTTAAAATATATTACCCTTATTTCAGCACACAGGAGTCTCTAGGAGAGTATTACAGATACCTAAAGTGTCCCTTTATGGGAGGATTGACTACTTGCATTAGGACTATTATGCTAAAGATTCCTCCCCGAGCATTTTAAGCTGACATAGTGGAAGAACACAAGGTTCTGCTCCAGGCATCACAGGAGCAGAGCTCTGACCCAGGTGTTGTATGTGGGATTCAGGGAGCATAAGGTTCAAGTATCCCAGGTCTGGTAAAGTTTCTGGACACTCATTTGGTTAACTAGCTCAGGGAAGCATGAGTAGGGAAGACTTCTGAAGATGGTAAGGTATTCCCCTTCATTCCTTTAAGTCCTACGGGATGGTGCAAGCCTGCTGATGTGGGGGACAGGGGAGTGCGAGGGAGACAGCCCTAACTTTAATTCTCCTCCTGGCCAGGCTCACCAACCTTGTAAGAAGAAGCCTTGCCATTTTCTACTTTCCTGCAGAAGTTCTTACCACACTCCCGCTGTCTCATACAACAAAAGCCCAGTGTGGTGTGAGTGGGAGGAGTTAGCATAGCTCCCCTTAACCCCGTTTCATCAATCTTATATATTTTGCATGACAGCTACTGTGCCCACTAGTTCTAATGTGCTGTTTACACACCACCAGACAAGTATCTCCTACTCAGAGGTTATTGTGACTGCTATCATGGTTGAAAAAGGCTGATTTTGTCCCTACCTTGAACATCTCTGTGTATAGAGGCTGAATTTTACTGCCCTCTTCTTAGCTGATTTCCTAGCACATAATCTCCTGGTTGCTGAATCCCAGTGCCTCACTGTCCAGCCTCCCCAGGCATTTCTAGCATCCGGAAAAGCCCTGGGAAAAGAATTCAGTTGGTTTTGAGTTCCAGCTTGTCACGTAGGCAAGTCACACTCACTCTTGAGTCTCTGTTTTCCGCCTATGCCAGAAGGGAGTCACAATGTTTGGTTCGCTTCACACACAGGTTTGGGAAAAGTCAAGGAGAGGGATGCTGCAGCACTTTGGGAACTGTCCAGTGCTGAACAAATGCAGGGAAGCTACAGCTGCCGCAGAAACTGGAGGAGAAGATGCAGATGATGACAATGGTGAAACTTGTGCTTTGCCCATAAAGTTACTTTATGTTTTGAGTGACTGAATAGACACAGTTTCCCTGAATGGAGCTGCCTGTCACCTTCCTTCTGGGATTGATCTGGACGGCCTGGGATAAGTTACTCAGCTCTGTACAATGAAGTCATCTGTAAAATAGGAATAATAACTCCCCCCCAATACCCCCATCATCCCGGCAGTGTTGCTGTGAATTCTGAGATTAATGAGTCTATAGATGTAAAAGTTCTAGAAAGAGGACTTGGCTCGTGTGTAGCGCTTCCTCAGCAGGGTTGGGGTTTTAATCGAGATAGTCGTAGAGAGAACTGACTTTCCCAAGCTTGGACGAGGGTCGTAGAAAGAGCAGAGACTCATTTTTTCTCAGGAAGTAGCACATGGCCTTGACTTCCTCATCTATAGAATGGGAATGACAATGTGCACCCTAATATCCTAGAGTGTGCATTAAAGGGAATCACCCTAGTGCCTGCCACTGGCCAGTGCTTGGTAATCACATCCTTAAAAGCCCTAAAATGCGTTCATCTGTTTGCTTCCATGGTGAGCTGGTGAAAAGAGAAAGTGTTCTTACAGTCACAACTGAGTCTCTTTTTGCCTCCTACAGTCCTGGGAACAGTCATGTGACAGAACTGGAGCCCATGGTGCATTGTGATGGTGAGATCCTGTGATGGAAATACCACAGCATGACCAGTTCTGAGTGAGGCATGGGTAGGAGAAAAGGAGTTGAAGGTGTCTTTCTTTTTCTTGCCACCTGGGACCTCACTAGCAGGTTCCAGGCATGGTGGAACATGGGGAGTCCAAGAGGGAACGTCATCTGGTAGCTGCTGGTAGGAGGATACCAAGGCGGGTTGACATGGAGGTGTTCTCATCTTCAGGAGGCGGTGGTAGGCAATGTTGAGGGCTGACTGTTTAGGCATCAGAGGGCAAATTTTGGCCCTGGGCCACTTCCCTCTTTACTGTTCTCAATATACTGTGTCTATTCTGGCATCTGTCACTGGCACACATGGGTCTTTTGTCTGCTTAACAAGGCAGAAGTATTTTGAGGACCCAGTTCACAAATCCACTTCACTCCAATCAATCCTCTTGGACTTTTCTGTGCAAGGTTGATGATAACACCTCTGAACACCCAAAATAAAGTGCTCAGGGGGACAAAAACACCTTGGGAAATGAAGTAAATTTCAAGTTGTTCTCCTCTCTTTGAAGGAAGTTCCTGGAGGCCAGGGATGAGGTGGGGATCACCAAACACCCCCGGTTCCTAGCACAGTGCCTGGATCACACAAGAGTTCATTTCCTGACCTCACCTGAGCCCTGCCAGAGAGGACAGAGCTCCCCAGAGCCAGATTGGGTACCCAGGAAGGGGATCCAGTGGTCAAGGGTAGGGGTGGCTTGGTGGCACAGAGTACCGTCAGGAAGCCCCTTAGATCTCCTCCTCCTCGCTAGCCTTGCTCCAGCGGTGGCAGCAGTTGGCTGTGATGCCCAGGAGGAAGTTGGTGGCTACAGATGCGATGGAGACCACAAAGCCCACAAAAGCGATGAAAAGATAATCGTCGAGGGTCAGGGTGAGGTGGCAGGCCTTGAAACTTTCCTCAGTGAGGGAGAAAAGGGAGGTTCCCTCAACTTCAGGGGGGCCTCGGCATTCAGCCAGCTGAGAATCTGCAACACACAACCCAGGGAGCGTGAGAGAGAATGGACTGGAGGTCCCCAACCCCTCTCGGGTGTGGTGATGAGCTTCCAATCCCTTATCTGTTTTATTTATTTATTTATTTATTTATTTATTTATTTATTTATCTCTATTCCCAGAGTAACCCATATTTCTGACCTGTTTTATAACAGATGTGGAAATCATGGGCTGGAGAGCTAAGAGACATCCCTGGACATTAATAGCTCCTACAAGTTGTGAATCTGGGGTCTTGAGGGACGGTCTCCATTTCTCATACGAGAAACTCTCAACTGTTCTCTGGACTTCTGCCCTTTAGCCATGTGGAAACAGTTGACTGAGAGGTTCTTTCTTTCCAACATGAAGTCTTTACTGACTAGTCTTGTATAGACAGCCTCACCCCAGCATCCTGAGCTCCTATGAAGTGAATCTTCACTGTGGGCCCCAGGACTCTTGCCCAACTCCTTAAAGGCACTCCTGATTGTTCTCTTTGTCTGCCTGTCCTGCTCATTTTCCATCCCCTTATGCATCGTCCCCCCCGCCCCCCCAGCTCCCTTTCAGTGGGGAGGGCGCTCTACCTCTGTCTCCTAGTGTGCAGCAGGCTTTACCCTGGAACCTCTGAATTGTTCAGTCTCTCACTTCCTGTGGAATTTTGCTCATCTATTACCTAATCAGGGAGGCCTTCTTTTACATATCCATTTAACAAAGCACCCCAGCACCAGAGAGATGGCTCAATGGGCTTTGCATGCAGAAGGCTTGTGTTCTATACCCAGTACTCTTGGTCTCCTAAGCACCTAGTTAGGAGTATTCCCTTGGAAACTCTGGGTGTGGTCCTCCCCAGTAGCACCCCCAGTTCACTGTTGTTTAATTTCTCCCTAGATCTTCCTCTGGGCCTCATTTCACTCCAATGTCTGTGTCATTGTCTGTCGGGGTGTATACTCTCTGTCTCTACCCTTTGGATCTGAGCTTTTGCCTTTGTCTCTTCAGAGTTAGAATATTTTGTCTATGGAAGTGCTAGGTGAATCTTCGTGAAGTGAACACATGAAGGAATGATTGTTTAGCTCCAAAGGTTCTTTCCATCCCCAGGTGACTTTTCCAGATACAAAGAATTTGGGGGTAAGAGGTTGGGCTATTGGGAAACAGACCTGGGTTCCAACAATCCCTTCTTTATCTCTTACTACTAATGTGGTTGTGGTCGTTATTTTAATATCACCATGTTTGGGTTTCTTTGTATAACAAAGGTAGTAAGTTTCTGTCTCATAGATTTGTGGAGTAATATATATATGAAATATTTTTATTAATTTTTTGGCTCAGAGGACCATATGCAATGCGCAGGGTTGAACCCAGGTCAGCCACATGCAAGGCATGTACTATCTTGCACTATCTCTTCAGTCCCTAAGTGACATATTCTTGCTAGACAACATGCACCTGCATGAGTGTGTGTTGGTGATTTTATTCTAATTGTGTCTCTTAAGACAAGTCCTAACATAGACTACTGTAGGAAGGGCTTCTCCTCCACTGGGACTTATGTTCTTGCCGCCTTGGTGTCCTTTCCCAGCGCTTCCTAAAAAAATGCATGATGGAGTCGATGTTGGATTACACTCTGCCTTGGAAGCAAGAGTGGCACACAGATCTCAGGAGAGTGAGTACTACAGTGCCTGGACACTGGTTTCTGGGCAACCAGGCCTCCCTTCATTGAGTGAATAAACAGTAATCAAATGCTTGCTCTGAGAAAGTCTTTTTAATTCAAATTTGGGTTTCTGGGTTCCCACATTCTGCCTATTAAGAAGGGAATAATCTAACTCACATGATGGGAATAATCTAATTTACATAATGGGAATAATCTAACTTACATGATGGGAATAATCTAACTTACATGATGGGACCCATTATGGCTCTGATGATACAAACAAACAATGTAAAAATGTTTGTTAAATGAGGTGGCATGCAAATGCTATATATTCATTGAATAGTTTTGGAGGAGCAGGAGTTGAAAGATGGATTTGTGTTAATCTTGTTGAGAAATGGAGGAGGATCTTTTTTTTTTAGTGGGGGGAGTCAAGTTTGGAAGGAGAAGAAAACTTGTCTCCTAGCCTGTCTATGCAGGAGAACCCTAGAGGCTGTTTGCTCAGACCCTGCTCAGGACAAGCTCTCCTCTGGAGCTGACCATCAAGAGGCTCTCAGCTCAGGATCAGAGGATGCTAAACCACAAATTCTACTGTGTGTGAGTGGGATGTTGGTGAAATAATAGGAAATTGGGGCCTGCAGGAGGATACTGAAGAGGGCTACTGGTAGGAGTATGGGTTGGGTTCTTGAGGGGGAGGGCTGACAAAAATCTCTGCTAAATGAAGGCACTAATCTTACAGTTGGATTATATTCCAATATTACCCTTATGTCTCTCCCTCTCTGACAGGATGTGATCAGCACCCATTGGTATTAAGTGAGAATCCCTTGAGGAAAAAGGGAGAAAAAAAGACATAGAGGGAAATGGATGGCCAATATTGCCTACATTCCTTCCGATATCGGCTAATTCTTTGATCCCAATAGGACGGATCCCAGAGTGAGACTTGGTGCCGCGTCTTCTGTGGAGGAAGAAGGAGCTGGATTCCTAGCTGAATTCCTCCTTACTTTCTTGCTGTGGGTCTGTGGACAGTCACCCCCACCCTCCCACCCCCACCCACCTCTGGAGCTCAGGTTCTTCATCTGGACTGCATGAGGCTACTCGGATGGAAACTTGGACCTTCTCCCAAATGGTCTAGGACTCTGTGCTTCTCTGGTAGGATGGCCGGGTGCTCAGAGCTCACAGAAAAAACTAGCTCCCGAGTGCCCACTTTTCAAGAAGAAGGGCTGTAGGAAGAGACTGCAATGCTCGAGTTTGTGAGTCTCATGGCAGGCAGTCTCCCCCTTCTGCCCCCAATCATCGCCCCATCTCAGTCCCCAGCTATTTTGGTCCCAGAGACTTCCTCCCACAGCTCTGTGGAAGCACTGGAATCGTGACCCACAGCCCCCCCAAGCTATTTTGGGCCTGGGCTCCCCACTCAGTCCTCCTTTCCCTCCTACCTCATCCAGCGTAGCGCGTTCTGTATGTACCCTGAGCCCAGCCCCCTGGGAAAGCCCCTGGGAGAATGTTCCCAGCTATTCTGGTCCCTCTGCATCTGAGGATTTGTGCCAAGGCTCAGAGATGTCTTGCTGGTTTGGGTGAGAGGATTATTGAGGACTGGGGGCACAGCTGAACTTGAGGGCTTGCTCTGACCCTGACTTGGACACCATGAGTGAGCTCAGAGCTCACGCATCTGTGTGAGTCAGTGTTCAGTCCACCCTTAGCTGGACTGGCTGTTTTCGTGGCCTTACTACTATTTTTCTCCTCAAGTCTCAGTCTGAAAGGACTCTGCAGAGACCCTTAGCTGAGGTTGGAATTCAAGCCTCACCCCTTCTAGTTCATCTGGAACCTGAGTCTAGAGCCAGAGGGAATCCAGAGAGACCGGGATTTGATTCCTGATTCCATAGCATCTGTGTCTGTGTGATTCTGGACAAGTAACTCAACTTCTCTGCCTGGGTTCTCTCTTCTGGTGTGTGTGTGTGTGTGTGTGTGTGTGTGTGTGTGTGTGTGTGTGTGTGTTCCCATTATGGCTCTTGTGACGATACGAACAGAAACCATATCACCTGCTCAGATCCCAGGGCATGACAGATAGTAAGTACTAAAATAACTCGCGTTAGCCCTTTTTATTACTTTCAGAGCTTTCCCAGGATAGAGAACACCAAACATGCAGCCTGGTGGAGGAAAGAGCAGGCTTGAGAAGTCCCCCCCCCCCCCCCCCCCCCCCGCCACCTCCCAAAAGTCCCCCCCCCCACCTCCCAATTCGAGTTATCCCCACTGAGACACTTCTGCTTCCTAAGCCAGGGTCCCTGGGAAATGATTTTCGTTGTTCTCAATCTCAGCTCTTTTTCCTGGTCAAACAGGATAATACAAGTGGGAGTCCAGCAAGTGGTGCATGCCAAAATGTGAGGTCATGGTGGAAGTTCAGTCAACAGGATTGTTAGCTGTTCTTGTTTACTATCTGTCTGCCTCATCCCAGAGGCCAGCCCTCCCGGGCTGAGGCTGTGTATTGTGACCCAAGAGAGCCGGTTAATGAACAGGTGAGTCCAGCCTGCGGCCCCCTCCCTAGGTGCTCTCATGTCTCGGCCTTCCTCTTTTAGGCTTTTAGGGGACGCCCCTACCCCCAAAACGGGGCGCCCACCTCCCACTTACCCGCGGGACAGCGCTGGATCCGGTTCCGCAGCCACTTGAGTAGGGGCTCCATGGTGCAGCCACACACCCAGGGGTTGCCTCCAATCTGCAGGGACACCAGTCCGGGCAGGCCCTCGAGGGCCTCGAGGCTGAGGAAGGCCAGTCCCCCGTAGCTGAGGTCCAGGTCCCGGAGCTGCAGCAGGCCCTGGAAGGCCTGCGGGTGCACCCGACGCAGCCACGGGTTGTGACTCAAGTCGATGTGCACCAACCCGTGCGCCTCTCGGAACATGTCCGCGGGCACGTGGCTGAGGTTGTTGTAGCTCAGATCCAGGTGTGCCAAGCGCTGGGCGTGGAGGAAGAGGCCCGGGGGCAGCGCCACCAGGGAGTTGTTGCGCAGGTCCAGCACGCGGAGCTCCATGTAGCACGTCAGGTAGCCGGGTGGCACGGCGGCGATGCGGTTGTGGGCCAGGCTGAGGTTGCGGGTGTCCCTCGGCAGGTCGGGGGGCACGGAGAAGAGCCGTTGGCTGCTGCAGTCCACCACCTGGTTCTGGCACGTGCAGAGGACCGGGCAGCTGCTGCCGGCCTCCGAGGGCATCACCCCTGCGGCCAGGAGGAGCGAGACCAGCAACACTGCTGGGTGCGGTGGCCCCGGCCACGGCAGCTGGGACCAGCTGTCACCCATGTCGGGCATTAGGCAGCAGCAGAGCCGCGGGGAGCCCGGTGAGGCTCGGGTTCTGGCCATGGAATCTGAAGGGCCAGTGGCTGGGGTGGACAACTACATCAGGGCCCCAGCCCTGGAGGGTGGAACTTTTGGGCACGTGGGATCATGGCTCACCCCTGGGGTGAACGGAGGCAAGGGCTCTGTCCTGGGGTGAACAGAGGCAAGGGCTCTGTCTGGGAGAGCCACGGGAAGCCTCTTTATGGAGCCCAGGGGGGCTGGAAGCCAGTGGCGCCCACTCAGGTTGGCAAAGATGATCAATGCTTGAGAAAGGAATGGGTTGAGCTGGGTGCTGTCAGGGGGTCTGCGAAAGGCCCCGCGGTCCTTTGGTGTCCCTTTGGCCCATGACCACTGGACGTTTAATCTGAGCGCTGGGAAGGCAGGGAGGGAAGGAGCTAGAATAAAGATGCTTTCCAGGGCCGATGCTTCAGAGAGACTTGAGTCGGGTCCCAGACTGGGGCCGCCTCCTCGTCTCCCACAGGCCACAAGTCACTGGCTTCTCCTCCCACGGGCCCGGCAGGCTGGAGTCCACGGGGGTGGGCGCTTTGGGAAGAGATTCCGTGGCGCAGAGGGTCTCCATGGGCCTGCTGAGCCTCAGTGGCAACCGAAGTCCTCCGGGAGGTGCCTCTTGCCCTGGAAGGTGGGTGAGGGGGTTCCCAAAGGACACCCACTGTCAGGTCACTGGAGGCTGGAAACAGTCATCAGTGTAGGAGGCATAGGCTCGGGCCGGAGGGCCGGGGGGGGGGGGGGGGTCAGTGGGAAGAGCCCGGGCTGCTTGTCCCAGTCAGCGTGTCTCTGGCTAACGGCTCAGCAGGCGGAGGCTGGATTCCCTCTGTCAACAAAGCAAGCACGGAGGCTGAGAATCCAGGCCCTCTCTTTCTGGCGGCCCCTGTCTGAGGGGTCTCCCCGCCCTCTCCCCCCTCTTTCCTACCAGCCACCAAGTTCTCCGCCACTGTCTCTCAGGTGTGGGTGATGCTGGGCTCAGACACCCCACCCTCCCTCCCTCCCTGCCATCCTCACTAGCTGTCAGCCGCCCCTGCCCGCCCGGCAGCTACTCCTCTGCCAGGTTCCTCTCGGGGCTGGAGGCATTTTCCCCTCCAAACCCCACCCCAGCGCGCAGAACACCCCGCCCTGGAACAACTCTCGAAGAAATAACACACGGATATACTGGGGCTGCTGGAACACCTTTTCAGATGTACTCACACTCCACCTCTCTCTCTCTTGTACAACATATATACACATCGTTCTTTGGTAACTCCCCCTTATTTTGTCCTGTCCTCTGCTCACATCTCTGCAAGGTTCTCTCCAGCCTCCCGCTCACGGATCCCGCAGAACCCCCTCCCAATCTGCCCCCAACATGTCACCCCTCCCAGTGCATACCCCCAACCCCAGTACCCTTCTCCACAAACACCACACTCTTCCCTCTGTACCCCTGATTGGGGCTTGAGCCCACACCCACACTTATGCTATATGTGTGTGTTTGGGGGGGAGGGTCAGTGCACCCTGGTGTCTCAGCTCACAGGCGTCCTCTGAGCACCCCCTCTTCCTCTGTCCACCTGCTGTTTGACTTGCCCTCCCTGCAGCCCCTGGTCCGGCGACACTGCCGTCATCCTCAGTGCCAGCCTCAGCGCCAGCCCCCGGGACAGCAGCTGCCTGGTCCTTCTCCAGACTCCTGTTTCTGAGACAGGGTCTCTCCTGCACCCCCCATCACCCCACCCCCAGACTACTCACTCTGTTCCAAGGACACAGCCATCAGTCTGCAGCACGCTGGGGGCCCCCCTCCCTCGTCCTGGAATCCCCGCTCTTGCTGGTTCAGAAGAACAGCTCCTCTCCCGGGCTTGTCCCCTCCCCCGGTCTCTTCTCCATGGCTCCTGGATCCTGGGGCAGCATCCTCAGCGGTTTCCCTGGGCTCCAGTCCCTGTGCTGTGCCCCTTCTTTTGCACCCCCCCCCCCCCACCCCGAGACGGAACTCAGAGAGAGGATGGTTTAGCAGAAAGTTCACAGAATCCAAGAGGCTTCATCCTGAAACTCTGCCGGGGCTGAGGCTGCTGGGGTTTGTGGCTTCCGCCGGGCCTCCCCCTCCTCCCCCTGCCCTCCCTCTCTCCCCCTGCTCTCTCCCGGTTTCGCTCCTTTTTTTTTTTTCCTAGAGGGCCAGGTAGTGACGTTGCACTGTCTCTTAGCAACTGCCTCCACATCTCTGAGCAACAGGAGCGCTGGCTGTGGACCCCGCGCAGAGCAGAGGGAAGAGAAGGACCATCCGCAGACTCCGCAGGCAGTGTGCAGCTTAGTGACCGGGCTGAGGGGAGAGGACCAGGGGCTGGGGGGAGGCAGGAGAGGCCACGGATCAGAAAAGAGAAGCGGGCAGAAAGCAAAGGGCCCAGCAGAGAGTTGCAATCAGGCTGAGGGCAGGGATTAGAACAGGACCTGGAGGAGGGGAGGCTAAGGGCGGCAGACCCAGAAGGGAAGGTTGGCTTGGGATGATGAAAGAGACTTAGTGGAGAGGGATGTAATGAAGACAGAAGGAAGGATGGCAAAGACAAGGGAGTGTTGTGACAGGGTCACCCATTGCACAGCAAGTGTGGATTCAATCCACAGAGGACTCTTGGAGGAAACTGTGCTTTCTCTCGTGGTCCTGAGGCAAGTGAGCTATCACAAACTAGGTATGGAACGGCTCAGGGCTGGCCAGCTACAAGACCTTCTCCATGTTCTTTAATTGTTCCTAGGTAATGATCCTATGCTGAGAACCTTTGGGATGCAAAGGGTCAAGTGCCAAGTGCAGGTGGGGTACTTAGAGCTGGAGAGATGTTCAGGGCAGCCTCAGGGAAGTAGAAACTGCTAGAAAAGACTTAGGGTGCTGTGCTCTTACTCAACCTCTGGGCTTTTCTGTTCTTTCCCAGGTAGATCAAGGCGAAACCTCCATGACACCGTTTTACTTGATGCGCAGTTGAACTGCATTTAGAAATGAAAGAAAGAAAAAAAATTGAATTCCAAGAAATAAAATTTTAATCTTAATGCACCCAATAAATTTAATCTTAGTGACCTAATTTAACTTTAGTGACTCACAATAATTCATATAAATAAAAGATTCAATAAAAGGTTAAAGGCATGACATAAAAAACATAAGGCTCACATAATAGTTGGTCACACAAACTGAAAAATGGTAGAAAACCCCATGATCTCAAGACAGGCCATAAGCCATGTCAATATTTAATGGTGACTAGAGGCACATTAAAAAAACACACATAAATGTCCGAAGATACAGCTCCAGGGGTCGGAGTGATGCTTTGCATGCGGGAGGCCCAGTTTCCATCCCTGGCCCCACATGGTTCCCCTCATCTACCTGGGAGTTACCCTTGAGCACTGAGTAGAGAGTACCTCTGAGTCAAAAGAACTAAATGAAACAAAAACCAAATCAAGAAGAATGGAAACTGTCTTCTGTTACATAATATGTTTATGACTAAAGGGAAATATTTGTGACAATTTTCCTTGAAAAAATAGAATTTAGGGGCCAGAGGAATATATCACAGTGTAGCAGAGCACAGAATCTGCAGGAATTAGGTCCAGATTCAGCCCAGGGAACTACTTGTTCTCTCAAGCAATGCCTACAGTGACCATTGAGCTCCAAGCTGGTAACAGCCTCTGCACTAGGTTGGGTGTGGCTCCCTCAAAAACAAACAAACAAAAATCAATCAATCAATCAATCAATCAAATAAACGAACAAATAAAATCCCTAGGATTTAGCAAGAATGCCTCCTTATCACTTGAAATTATTGTTTTTTTGCGAAGTTGAGATAATAATAATGGGCTCGTTTTGGGTTATATGACTTGTTATTAATAAGCTAATAGGCTAGCACGGCTAAAAGAACAAATACTGTCAAGTGAAATATATTAAGAGCTGAGTAAAAAAATGGCTGACAGAGAATTTTATAGAAGAAAAATAAGTTGAGTTAAAATGGGAAATGGGAAAAGGAAGAGAGCATATTTGCAGGTGATTGGAATGTATTCTTGTACAAGACAAGTCTCAACACTTTTGAAAAACTCTCACTTAAGAACAGAATTATGTATCATATCATCTGTAAAATGTGAGGTTACATGGATTAGGAGTCTTTTAAATGACTGAAAAAAATTCTTGTAAGTCTGCAAAAATTTAAATGTTGAACCAATGTTTCCCAAACTGGTGTCTCATGGTACATTTTGTCTCGTGGGACACTAGAAAAATGATTTTTCTCAATTAAGTTTGAGAAATACTGAGTTAAACAAAATGAGACACCCTTATTCATAGCAAAATTTCTAGGGGTTTTTATGTGCAAATGTTCATGGTGTCTGTCTAAAGGAAAGTGTTGAAAAGGGGAAATTTATAGAAGATTCTGTATTTCCCTAATTGGGGAGAGGGGAAGGTACCTGGCTACTTCCTTGAGGAAACTGAGTTTCTCCTTCATAGCAGCCTTGCAGGTGAAGTGATTAAATTTAAACCTCCAGAAAAATGATAAATTATTACATGTCATGGCCTCTAAGCATCTCTTGCAAATTATTGAAACTGACTGTTCAATCATGACTTTTAGTAAATCAGGATTTACTATACTGAGAAAATACATAGAAATTAATCTAAGAGCTGTGGAATACAAATGAATTAAAAGATCACTTTCATTGTTATTATTTCTTGGCATACACAGTAAATTAGTTGTAACAATGACAGAATACCTTTAAATACATATGAATTCATTTAATCTACCACATTCAGGGAAAATGATGAAACCTTCGTGGAGTGAAGATACAGGAAGAAATGGAAAACTAATCTCTCTGGTTGCTGAATAAGTTTAAAAACAGGAAAAAGGACTCTACTCTCTATGTTGTAATAATTTAATAAAATTATTTTGTAGAATTTAGTGAACTGGCAGTGAATGTTAAAATGTATGAATGTTTCCAATAAAGATGCTGATGGGAAGTGCTGAGAAACTAATGGTGGTGGACTTAATTTAACTAAAAGATTAACAAACATACTGCAAACTGAAATTCATTTATTGGCATTATTCAACTTTGTGTTTCATAAAATAACGATGGGATAGAATATACTTTGAGGAAGTAAGACTTTCTCATTAGCAGACTGTAGAATATGAAAACATTG